GCGTTGTGTGGTCTGAGTCGGCTTTAGGGTTTATCAGTGGTTTGGTGATGGAGGAGGCTTCATCTTCTCGGTCATCTGATTCTTCTGATCAATCTGCTTCCAAGTTCCTTTCTAACCTTCCTTCTCGCGGTTTCTTGTCTTCTACCGTCGTCTCTTCCAATCCGGTAACTAACTTACACATTTGTGTCTGAAGTTTTTTTGGGTTCCTGATTTGGGGGTTTAGAAAGTGATTAGATTTAATATGCTTTGTTCAATTTTGTTTCGAAATGGATAACATTTGAGTAGCCTCTGAAAAAACAGATCTTGCCCAAATAAAGTAATGACTTTGCGTCTGTATCGAGTGTGGTTGTCAGAAATAGGACTCAGATTGAAGTGCTCTTATGTTATTCGAATTGGACAATGATTACACTTGTTCAACAATTTGTTTGTTCACAGATCCTTCATACCTAGTTTTCCTGTGAATGAATCTACTTGCCACTATCTCATTCATATTTTCATCGGTAGTTTGGCCAGTGAATGTTTCTTTCCATCAAGTTATTTGCTATATATGTGTCTTAAGTAGCTTCAAGGTTCATTCTTAAATCGTACATTTAGTAACTTTGTGTTGTCTAAGATTGCAGGGAAGCTTGCGGGTCTACATTTGTGAACATGACACATCTCCCCCTGGTATTTCTTATCTTTAAACTCCATTTAACTTTTGTTTTGTTCGACGAGTTGTTTCTTGCAGTAATCTCATAAAGCAAATTCCTTTTAAATGTCTGACTAAAATTCCTAAGTTGCTATTGGGCATATATTCAGAAGGACAACATATCAAAACAAACCAGCAGAATATACTAATCCGATCGCTCTTGTTAAAGAAGCAAAAAGGTGAATCTAGTTCAAAGGACGCTAAAGGGACTGCTGACGATGGTCCTAAAAAGAGGTAACAACCACACTCGATTAGTTCTTGCATCCCTCTCTTGTGACCAAATTTTATGAGTTGAAAATCTTTAACCTTCTACTCTGTTAAGAAAACTGTTAAGTTTCTCCAGTCGGCTATTAAAATGGTTTGTTAATCTCTTACCTTTTCTTTGTACTAGGCCTGCAAATAGGGCTCTGGATGACCGGAGCTCCGCTAAAAGAGCTGCTAATGTATCTAGACAAGGTTAGCTTGTCGCTGTGCTATTCTATCTGATTTAATTTTTAAGAATTCACAGGTCACTGGACTTAAGACAACGCTATGTTTTTACACAGAAGGATCAAGCAGTCGCACAGGCGAAAAAGAGTTTCAGTCTTTGACTGTTGAGAAGCTCCGCGCTCTTCTCAAGGAGAAAGGTCTTCCAACGAAAGGAAGAAAGGCAAGTCAAAACATATGCCAATGTTATATAATTGAAGTCTCCATTGCAACTCTAATTCTCTATAATGTTATAATTTAAAGTCTTCATTAGAAAGCTTTTAAGCACCTCAATCTTGTATCCACTATAATATCATAAAGAATCCGTCTTCCACTATATGATGCTGCTTCCGGTTGGTTTATCGTTGCTCTTGTTTTGCTTATTGATTACGAAACTTGACTGGTCTCGCAGGATGAACTTATCGCCCGCCTGAAGAATGCCAACTGAGGATAGAGAAATCAAGATTGAGATAACGGGCAAGGTGAATATATATGTGTATCCTTTAGAGGCTTTCGGATAGGAGACAAAAGTGTGTTGTTCTTGATCAATACAGATCCTTCGGGGGAATTGGTTATCAGGAATTAGGGCACTTTAATATATGAATCTGGTTTTGGTTTTGGCCTTGAGATTTTTCATCAAAGACCTTTTGAACTTGTAATCTTGAAACCAAACCAAACCGAAACAGGCTGTTTTGGTAAAAAACCAAATGTATAATGGAATGGCTTTTGGTTAATGGAAAGTTTGTCTTATTTACGGGTAGTGTTTTGAGCTACTACATCATAAGTACAATGATGATCAATAGTTTAATAATAGTATATGCTTTTGTATTTTGACCCAAAAAAAAAAAAAAAATATATGCTTTTGGTTTAGTGTATGAGTAATTGTGTGTAATTTGGACTGTGGAGAAGTAATATTAATACGGCGAGCAAAGGAGAATTAGACAAAACAAAATTTGACCCGTAAGTGATAAATATATAAGTTTGGCAATTCCATTTCACCTACCAAAATGGGAATCAAAATAACCCTTTTTGTGGTGGATTTTGTTGAAAACATAAAATACGTAACAATGGCAACACCATATTATAAGGTCTTATCAAAAGCTGGTTTCGGACCATGGAGTAGATTAAAGCGTAGGTCCGAACTCCTCCTAATTATCAAAAAAAACAAAAACAAAGTCAAAAACAATGGTTTGATTCTATATCATACAAAACCATGAGTCTCTTTGGACGGTGAAAATGAATAAAATTGTGAGATCGAAAAATGGAGAGAAAGCACTTTAAAAAGAATTCTTTCTCTTTTGGTCTTTGTCTTTGTTAGTAATAGACAAATAATTGTCTGTCAAATCAAAGCAAGAAGAGAGTGATCTTGGAGAAGATAGTTATGGACAAATTTCTAATAAGTGGATATTTGTCGCAATGGTGATGGTCCAGAACTTTTAATAATCAATGGACCGAATTTTCCAAACGGCGCCGTCTTCCCAGTCACAACGTGAGTGGCTCACATATATTCTCCGTATATTGCATATGAAATTATGAACTTTTAATAATCAATGGACCGAATTCTCCAAACGGCACCGTTTTCCCAGTCACAACGTGAGTGACTCACATATATTCCCCCCGTATATTGCATATGAAATTATGAACTATCATCTATCAATGGGTTTTAGTTTTTTCATTTCACAGATAATATTCAATATTGCCAACAATTTTCATACTTTAAAATAAATGTGATGAAGCTATTTAACTATAGGGAATAAAATAATTATGCTTTTAAATAAACTAGGTTAGAGAACACCGGTAAATAATGTTTGTAAAATAGTTTATTTAGGATTAAAATTCTAATTTCTATGTAAAAGAACTATGTTTTTTTCTTACCGTATGCGAAATGAAATATTTATAACGAAAATTAATGTAGTTTTTGTTAAAATAATCAATTGTAATTATTGCGAAATTTCTTTTGTCAAACTATGACTAACGTTATTATAATAAATTTGAGATTCTTTTGTGTATATTTGAATTTTTGATTGTTTTTGTATAGGAATGTGTTTTACCAAGAGATAATGCATATAATATTCTTCAAGTTGAAGGAAATGAAAATATTTGATAGTATCTTTTAAAATTATTTGTAAAGTGATTTTTCAGAATTTGCTTAAGTGTCGGCTCCAAAATTTGTTTAGTTTTACCATTTTATTATTTATATAATACACATATCAAATCAAATGTATAATAATTTAACACATTGGAATGCACAATTTATTATAAAGAGTAGAGATTCCTCTCTTAAAAGAATGAACCCCCTATTTGATCATCGTTTTAAAAAATTATTTTCTTCACATTGAAGTTTGAATAAAAACTGTATAAATTAATATGAGCAAATCTTCTAAATAAAGAAAATTAATAATTTTTTCATACAACATAAAACAAATACTCTATATTTTTTTTTCTTTTGGTTTTTATACGTTTGTTGTTTTTTTTTTTATTTTTGTTATGGTTAATGTCTCTTATATTTTTTTATATTTTGCTGAAGATTTTTTTTTTCTATGAGATAATTAGGAAAATATAAGATTTAGATATCAATTTCACTAATTGAACGATTAACTATATCGTGATTTTTTTTAATTTTTAATTAGTGGGCTAGATAGAATAAAAATTTAAACATCATAAGTGGGCTCTTTATAAATTCTGTGTGTATAATAGTGGATTAAATAGAATAAAAGTTTGAGGGACAATTGCATATATGCCATTTTTTATGTGTTACTTTTC